CTTTGTAATCTGTACAGCCAAGTATCAAATACCAAATACGACTCGATTAAGGAAACTGATCTCAAAAGACAACGTTTCAAAAATGTTCTTTGACACTTCTGTTGGATCTTTGCTTTGCGTTGGCCCAATAATAATTGCTAAAATTAGATGTGACAAAAGGAAAAAAACCAAAATTATGTCATTGTCCGCCAAACACATCGCGAGGTGAGGGCGTGCAGTGCTAAGATTTATGGCCACACGCGTGTGACTTGATGATGGCGATTGCGTTGAAAATAGTCAATAAAACACGCACGAAAAAAGGTATTTTTTTAATTAAAAGAATGTGCCCCAAAACACTCGTTAATCATATTCGATAAATGACATTTTCTTCATTCTCGATCTAACGGTCGCGCATAACAGGAGGGAGATATAGCGCCGCGGAAACGATAATCTTTTGATTAATTTGTTTAGATGTTTGACTAAACTCCGTCGTTAAATCCAGATGCAAACAAAACTACGGCGTGGCTCTTCTTCTCCATTCGTTGTGTTCGCTCGCGCATTTGGATTCAACCTTTCCTTCACGGACTCCTTCTGAGTCCGTGACTAGAGTCTCTTGGCAAGAACAGAAGGATGTGGAGATCCTTTTGAAACTTGTTTTGGGGGAGATCACATGCACATTTCGGGTCCACCAGCTTTCTTTTCCCTCCCTTCCCTCGCGTGGGATTTTTGTGAACACAAACGTTTGGCTCCTTCTAGGTGTGGAGTGAAGAGATTGAAGGGATCGTTTGTCCCTCTTTACCGTAAACCTCGTTTGGCCTTGACCCGCAATAGTTTACGCACAGTCGATGTGAAAGATATTGTTTTGTTCCGGGCGGTGGTTGTGGCCATGTGGCCTTTCGAATCGGTGTTTGCTTATCAGAAGCATGGTTGGAGGATCCTCTTCTCCGCACGGAGTTCGCATCGATGTGTCGATCTATCTCGACCGATGACACAAAATCCGTTCGCAAATATCAACGGTTGAGAACCGATTGAGACACTCATAAGAGCGCTGCGGAGAGTAAAGGAACGTCTCTAGCTAATTTCTTTTAGGCCGTGGATGTTGAGTGGTCTTCTCCATTACTATTGTTTGTTGTTCATATCACTCCTCGTCGGTATGATCAAATACAAGAAATTGCGCCAAGTAAGAATTGAACTCTTAAGAGTTAATAAGATCTTGATTAAGGGTAAGCGGTTTCAGATTCCGTACAAGTTTTACTTGAATTATAAAACCTACCCGTTGGAACATATTTCTCAATTTTTGGAATGCATACATTGAAACCTGGAACCTACCTGTCACAGGTTCCAGAGTCGGTTTTAAGGTCTACCCAAGTTCCACCCTTATTATTAATTGAACGATTGCAGTGAATCATCACTTCTAATGCCCACCACTTGCTACTACAATCCACTAACCACAAAATTTATATTTAGACATACAAAGAATATGAAACATTAACAAAGTAAAAGTCTCAATCATAAAATTGAAGCTCGGTCTAGTGGTTCCAGATTATACACTTATCATCGGAAACCATAGAATGACGCAGGATTGCGCGAAGATATAGACTAAGAAAAACACAAAAACTTGTTCCAGGTTACACCTACTTAAGACCTCGAACCTATCCGTTGAAATAGGTTCCCCAATTTTTGAAACCTGGAACCTACCGTGCATACATTGGAATTTGGAACCGGACAGATTCCCACCGATCAAGTTCTCAGGTTCCAGGTTCTATCCTGAAACCATGTTCATCCCTAGTCTTGATCATTTTATTTATCAAGAAATAAAAGGATTCAATCGATTTACCATCTCGGCCAATTCCGCCACAGCTTAAGGTAAATTTCATAATTTTTCATGTAAAGAAAAGGATGAGTTATAGTTGTTTATTTTTATTTTTAAGCTTTTCTTGCATACACATTAATAAGAATTTTTATGAATGGAAATGAACGAAAATTGAAAACCAATGGGCAATGGTTCGTGATAAAATATTCGTATTGTTATTAGACTAAGGGACAACACATGTGGTGCAAAATTGCGGCTATGTTCCCCAAATTCCCGAATCGAAACTTTAGTCCAATGATGGCCTTGTCGTCCGATCGTGATTATATACTTTTTGGCTTCAAGTTCGACCTCCTTTTAGAATTGCTTATTTAAATAATAATAATAATAATGATAATAATAACTACAGCAGAAACCTAAGCTATTTAGTGGTAGTGGACATATACGAAATCCATAGAAGCCATAGAGACAAACCACAAATCAAATGTTACAAATGGACCCTCAAATCAAACATTTAGGTCTTGATCACTCGTTTTATTTAGATATAAGATACTCGCAAATAAGATGTTGTAAATGGACACCGACTATATTCTCGGACCATCTATGACAATATACGAACACCCGAATGGCCTTGTAATTATATCTACGTAGATCATGTGATTTTCAATTGCATCATGTTAATCGTGTAATCTGTTGAAAATATGTCTTGAGTTTGAGCTTGAAAATGAAACTTTCCTATTTAAGTGGGTTTCCTAAAAGTGATTTCCTATTTTGGATTAAACTCTTGTCTATAAATGAGAAATGTCTCCTTTGTAAAGAGTATCGAAGAGATGTTTTCTTCGTGAATGACATCCTCGAGGGTTTGAAACCATGAAATTCTTTTATGACATTGAAAGTTTATTTTGTATGAAAATTTGGGGCGGGGAAACACTAAGTGTTTGAGTAATTCGAATGTGATTATAATTTCAGCTATTCGCGTTGCTCTTCTAATGGAAGTAGGTTACACCGACCGAATCACTTAAATCTGATGTCAACTTTATTTATTTGTTATGTTAATTTTGTTGTTTGGCCCGACGCTTTCTACCACGTGATTGATCGATACATAAATACTTTCTCGATGTTATGATGAACTATGTCTCGGTTAGCTTAACTTAGCAAGCGGCCAGTGGCGGACCAATCCACTATGGCCTGGTGGGGACATATAGATCTGGAGATCTAAGATATCATGCTTCCTATTTGGCCTCTTTTGCTAGGAAAAGGACCCGAGAACAAGTCAAACATGATATCGGGACCGCAATTAATATGACGTTTGGTAGTAGGAGAAACCTTCTCATTGAGTTATCATAGAGAGAGTATAGCAGCGTAATCAACATCTAGGCGAAAAAAATTATTAGTTAGGGTGTTTATTGCATCATAAGAAAAATTCGGAAAGAAATTTCGAGGTCCAAACCAATAAAATCACTAAGGGTGCGTATGGTCCGGGTGGGCGGTTCGCACCCTAAAACCGAGAACCGTCCACTAAGGACCGGTTCCAAAAAATTGGAATCGAGAACCGCCTGTTGGTTCCATGGATCCACTTGGAAACCATACCGCCGGTCTGGTCCAATTCCTAGGTGGGTCCATGGAACCGGTCCCACTAGCCAAGGATGGAGACAGAAAGATGAAGATGGAGACGGAGAGTCAGAGACGGTAAGGTGAGCATCGACCAAAAAGAGTGAGAGAGTGAAAGTGAGAGTGAGGCGAAAATGAAAGAAGGTGTTTCTCGACTCAATGTGAAACTGTGAGCGTCAAGCGAGTTAGATTTAGTTTAGGGATTTATTATTTTTTTAAAAAAAATTTAAAATTAAATAAATATATTATATTATCTATTATATTTATTATTATATTACCGGTCTGGTCTGGGTGGACAGGCGGACAGTTCCACACCTAGAATCAGGAACTGGACCGGTACCCACCGATTCCCAAAAATTGGAACCGGGAATCGGACCGGTTCCCTTAGGAACCGCCGGTTCCGGTCCAGTTCTTGGTGGTCCCGGGTGGTCCGGGCGGTTCCCGATTTTTTTGCACACAACTAAAGATCACAAGCTAAACCGAATAGAGTCAATGCCAATGCTTAATTAATCCAATTTGATTTTCAATATCTGAAATTTAACAATGATAACCGATTCAACATCATTTATAAATTGCTAGAACATCCACTCATAAATTCTAAGCCGATATGTGAAGGAAGATCACACGTACGTAGAGAACATACAAACTCTATCGTCGAGAAACATGGGATAATCCCATTTCAACAGTAAGGGTGGATGAGGGTACAAAGGAGCCAAATAGCTAGTAGGATTTTGAATTTGCTTTTGATTGGACGAGGCGAAGCCTAAAACAACTATTGCACTGTGCCTCGATTCCTGGTGGCCAGCGGTGCGCCGACCTATTCTCGTTGGGCCATTGAAATTTTTGAACCCCCCTTGCCCTTTAAGACAGAAGCCCCATAAAAGTGTATGTATATGTCATGTCTGTCACCAACACGATAGATCCATCAACCTGAACGATAAAAAGTTGCCAGGACTCAATTCCACAGTTCATACCCACTTCATGTTTCCCTATCATCTCAATCGGATGCTTATAGTCAAAGCTTGATAATCATCACACTTTTCTCGGGCTTGACCCGGCAAAACCACCATCATGCTTGATCGAATGCAACCTTACCGCCTGGAAATTTAGTAAAGCCCGGTGAATGACACCAAAACCACTTGCCTGTACAATAAAAGACCCGACACTGCAAAGTTTAGCGACGTAAGCCTCCCGTGCGAGGACCTGGCAGGTTCATCCCAGAAAGCAGAGGAAGTTACACATGTTGATGTCAATGTGATATCACTAGGAATTAGCAAACACCGTAATAGGAGTAGGGCCAAATATGCCACGTGATTCGTTTTTTTCACATTGCTTGAGAATTGGATCAACTCGATGGAGCTTAATTCCCAGGTAAAAAGAAGAATTATTATGTCAAGTTTCTACAAATCAACTATTGCTCATGTTGACAAATGACATGTTTCCCGCCCATAGGAAATAACTAAAAGCCGATAAGAGTACCAAGCAACTGAAATACAAGCCCAAGCACCGGAAGTCATCTCATCACGAGAGAGAGAGAGAGAGAGAGAGAGAGAGAGAGAGAGAGAGAGAGAGAGAGAGCAATCAGTTGTTGGAAGCAGAGTTCACAAAGCCAATCGTGCTTTCATCCATAAAGGAGTACTTTCAGCCTGATAAGACATGCAGGAATCAATAGCACTCAGCTAATGCCAGAAAGCCGTATCTTTGTACCACTCAAGTGGCACACACCCTATTTTACAAAATGAGACACATCAAAATGTACAAAGATGAGTCAAATCCTTCTACTTCTAATTTCCTGGTACCTCATCGGCTACTGGCAAGGAGCTTCTGCAACTGACCACTCATTACTGCGGCACTGAGATCTGATATTAAAGACAAAGTAAGATATAAACTTAGTAAACTTGGAGAAAGATCCCCAAACAATGATGTTTCTGGCGAAAATCGCCCCAAGGCTATCACCGTAACGGATCGGAGCAGAGCAAAGGAGGAAGAATAAAACAGGAAAGAGCCAAGGACAGACCATCAGAGCCACCGATATGCTTGCCATTCACAAATACTTGCGGGACGGTGCGTCGACCAGTGAGATCTAAAAGAACATTTTGAATTCGACCACCATCATCTGCATGACATCATGAGCAGAGTAATTACCTTCCATACCAAAAAGGAAAAGATGAAAAAAGGCAGTACGAGTTTTACTAGTAAGCTCCAAAGAAGAGCACCAAAGAATAGAAACTTTTGTAACAGTTTCCACGCATCATCTGAAAAATCCTTATATAAAAGAAAACGAGAAAGTACCTCTAAGATCAAGTTCCACAACATACGGTTGTTCATGCAGCTCACTGAAAATACGCTTGGCACGTAAGCAGTACCTAGCAACAGGAAAAGGTAAGAGTCTTTCATGTTATTATCAAGAGAGGACAGAGGTCCCAATGATTACAGGGGGCATGAGGTGGGATGAAGTTTGCTCTCTGAACCCAGACCCGTATAAGTATCGAGCGGATGGGAGAGAGAGTGTGTGAGAGAGAGACAGAGACAGAGAGAGAGAGGAAAAATTTCTAAACAAAAAAAGGAAACTTTCAGCAGATTATTAATTTAATATACTTGTGGAATACACATTGTGCGTGTTCCTGCCAAAAACAGATCGATGTGCAATGCAGAAAATTTTCCCAGCCAGCAAGCTCATTTGGCTACAGCCACTTAGCAAAAGACATAACATGATTATACATGACTAGAAGGACAACTTGTTCAGCATAGTGACAACTGATCCTCTTGTTGTAAATCTTCAACCCATCAATCATAGTCAGAAGTTCAAACAACAGACCGTGCAGAATTTCAGCCCATGAACACCAGAAACTGCCAGACTGATGAGGCCTACAATTGGCAATTATAGAGGCTTTAGAGGCATATGCAGTAAGTTTGACATTCCTGGTGCTTTAAATTTTGAGCCTGAAAGTTAAAAAATTCTTCAAATGCTCTGTAATATAAGAACTACCCGAAAGATATGTTTTTCAGGAGTCCAACCATTTGCTTTCAATTGCTCAGCTCTGTTACTTCTACCAACCTAGTGATTCGAGAAGATTTCAACCAATTTCTACAAAAGAAGGATAAACAGCTGCCTGAAAAAGCACTTCAATTAAAACAGCAGCCGCCGAATATTCACAGGCTTTCTAAATAGCTCCCAGTCCAAAATGCGAAAAGCACTACCATAAGGAGCACTTCAAAACACACTCAAACAAAAGATTCAGATCCAAGTTCCCTGAACGGAAAAGGTGGGCGAAGGGCACTGTAGATGATTTACATTTTCATCTGAGGATTCTGGGCAAATTGTCACAACCTATGAACTCGCTAAAAGACCATTATCACATCACAAGAAGGTCCTCCCAAAATGCTCAAAGCTCTTTAACACATATCGGAATCCCCGACGAGCTCCTTCCATATCTATTCGCAATCCTAAACCTATTCCCGAACAATGTCCGAGACTCGTGCAGACTCGCGTACCATGCCCTCCTAGGAAAGCCACAGTTTTTACACGACAAATTCCAGCGCACACCCGACGATCAACGAGCGTTAATCGGAAGCAACGCTACCGCCATAGCACGAAACCATTGCGGTATCCTTAGGCTACCGGAGAAGGCAGAAAAAAAAACCTAATCACTCTTTTCGCAGATGAATCAGAGGGAACACGTTCGCAATCGAGTTGATGAGCTAGAGAGAGAGGGAGAGGGAGAGAGAGTACGGGCAGTAGGATTTGGAGAAGATGGCGATCTTGTTGGAGTAGATGACGTTCTGCACGAAGGCCGACGACGAGGTCGAAGCCGCGGCCCCGAGGGACAGGAGAACCGCCACGAGCCCCGGCAGAAGGAGAAGGCGAGCTTGCCGCTGGTAACCGTCCATCTTCGTCGTCTTCTTCTCCGCTGAAGCGCAGGAGGAGGCGGTCGGCGACGCTTCGCACGCCTCTGGTTCTGTTCTGCTGCCCGTGAGCTCCGAGCGAAGTGCGCGCACCCACGTCTTGCGTGGGGGAAAACTAAACGGGCCCGACGAGGCCCGCCCGTAGCGCTGCTCGGGCTTGCTCTTCAGATGGGGCGGGCCACTCAGTGTCGGGCCGGGTCGAGCCCCCACCACTAATTGAGTACATTGAAGTGATAGTGTGCCAAAGCGATGCACGAAGATCCAAACGCCCTGCAAATTGAGGCACCTAATAGGAGCGCTGACCAGATGGATGATCTTCGCCAACATAACAAGTAACTCCGAGAATAGAAAAGCAAGGGAAGACCAAACGCCCTGCAAATTGAGGCATTGGGCAAGGGAAAGACGAGACTCTAGAATCGTGTTAGTAGCTCAGGGTGCGCGTTTGGTTCGATTTTATCAAAGTCCTCTGGGGTCTTAGAGGCAATTGGGCAACTACAAATGGTCTTTGGCAAAAAAATTTGGAAGCTTCGAGCATCTCCAAAGCTCTACAAAGGTCTTCACTCGATTGAGGGTTGGCGATATCTTGAGATGCAATTGCGTTTTCGAAATATTCCAAGTTAATTAAAAATATCAATTTCCCACCACATCCTCACTTACCATCCATAATTTCATTTTTGCCTCTTTTTAAAAGAAACCCTAGCTGTACACTTAACCCTCTCTCGCCTCTCTCGCCCATTAACGCTTCGACGGACTTCTCATGACTCTCTCCATTCTTGCTTTTCAACGAACCCCATCGAGGGCTTCACACTTTTTTCTTTGACGACCTTATCAAATTTACTAAAGGCTTTTGCATTTCCTCAAAAGCCGAACCAAACACACCTACCATGATTCCTAATTGGATCTTATTTTTCCTATCTAAACAAGCGTGGCTATTTAGTAAAATAAAAAGTTGCGAGTTTTCAACAAATAGGAAATGATTGATAGATATGTAGGTAAGAAGGTCAATGGGGGGCTTTTTGCTATTACCTACGTGACTTAAATGAAATAAAAACGATGTCGTTTTGATTGAAAAATTATCTTATTGAACTTTGATTGAGGGTAAATGTGTCACGCTAGTACAAATTTGAGATTTTGATGTCACGAGAAAAAGTTTAAGGCAAATGTATCATTATAGTTTGGTATCTTTTTATCTCGTAAAAAAAAGTTTAAGGTAAATGTGTCACAATGGATATAGTTTGGGGTTTTTTTTATACTTACCCCGAAAAAAGAGAAAATCCCTTGCAAACATAGGTATTTAAGATTTGGAGCTCGAGAAAATCATTTTATTCATATTCACGTTCCATTTGAATCGCGAAAAATTAATGCTAAAAATGATTGATTGTATTGCTTACAAAGATAAATGAACGATAAATATGTTCATCGCTTACAAAAATGTTTGAATAATGAACATAAATTGTTATTGATAATGAGAATAGTTTTTATTGACTAATTATTGTAAGCGATACAAGGATAATATTTTATAAATCATTCGTTTCAGAGCCTAAAATAACCTCTCTACGCAACAATGAATCAGGACGGATTTGAAGCAGAACAATGGTTTGGATTTCAACTCTTCATTGCCCTCGAAAATCCGAAGGACTTGATAAAGAATCTCCGGTAACAGCGACAACGAATGACTCAAACCATGAATTCAATCGAATCGAACCCCGTAAATCAATGTCAAGACGGGTTGGAATCGGAACCAGATGCTTCATCTCTGCGCAGGCCATTGTTGTAAGCCTCGAGCTCCTCGCAATACACGTCCCACACGCACCTCACGCACCCGCTGCCGCAGCAATCTCCCGGCGACGGCACCTCCGGCGGCGGCGGCGGCGGCGGAACCGGAGCCGATCTCTTCTCATCCTCTACCTCCTCCTCCTCCTCCCTCTGCGCTCCTTTGCTCGCGCTCGCTTCCGTCGTGAGACCCAGCGACCGATCGCCGCTACGGGTCTCCATCGGATTGTTCGGCGCGTGGCGGGCGGGAATCGATCTTGGAGCTCGGGACCCGCGGTCGCAGATGGCGAAGCGCAGGTGAGCGCATGCTCGTCGCATGTTCAGATCGGCTCGTCCGAGGGGCGGCGGCCGGCGATCGGCTGGTCGCGGCGGCGCGTGGAGCGGTCGGGTCGGGAGGCGATGTTCGCGGTGGAACCGGAGGGAGGTTTCCATGCAGTCGACGGCTCCGCAGCAATTGGGAGGTTACCCCTCTCTCTCTTATCGCGCGACGGAAGCGATGAATGGTGGGACACGTGGAGCGATCGTATTGGGTGGCCCCGCGTTGGGGGGAAGGGAGAAAAATGTCGGAAATTCTTAACCCGGACCGGTCAATGAACCGGTTTACCTTCTGGTTCTTTGGGTATAATCGATTCAACCGAGTCGAAGTGGAAAAACCCGGTCCGGTCAACGCACGTTTGCTGGTGTACTAGATAAAAAACAGAGAACGTAACTTTATTTTCAAGTAATGGTAGAGATACTAATCATCGTATACTCAAATGAGTTTACTAAAGACGAGACCAAAAGCATTCTGCGATTATTTTAGTTAATAAGTACAGCAAAAGATTGAACGGAGATCGACCAGATCATTCAATCGATCTATCAATAGCTCTAGCATTATTTAAATTATAAACTAATTAACGAATCCATGCTTATTTAAAGTGAGCACAAAGTGGCTAGGCGAGTCGGGGCTAGGCCTTGAGGTTGGACCTATCTTTTTGCTCGCCAATCATAAATTTTTTTTACACAAGATCTACGTACCGGATTGGACTTTCTCATTCGATACCCATGGACAAGCCCGCATAAAAAGTCATTCGGCTCTTGTGGTTCAGATTGGGGCTGCGTAGGCTCGTAGGTCGCCATGTCATGATCAAGTCAAGCACCGCAGATATTTCAACCTTTTTAATCTCAAATCTCTCGAAACTTTCGTTACGGATCAATGTCCACATTCATATTGACATAAGCATATATTTTCGAAAATCCGAATACTGTCTTTCTCTTTTTGCGGGGATGTAACGGAATTTCTTTTTGACTTTTGAAAAATCCAAACAAAAATCTTTGTTAGACTGTGTCCGGAATGAATTTTCTCTTTTACTTTTTGCTTACTCTAAAGTGTCGACATTTAGGGTAATATACAATTTTCGTTTTTTCCATAAATTTTTGGAATTTTGATAATAATTTTGACGGGAAATCGTAAAAGAAAAAAACAAAATGAAATAGACTCCTAAATTCCAAAATCTAAAAAGGGGGAAAAAGCGAAACCTCTCAATCTCTCTCTTCTAACCTCGGCCTCCGCCTCTGTCTCTCCCTTCCCTCCCCTCGCTGCCACAGTACAGTCGGACTCTCGAGCCGGAGCAACCATCGCCGCCGCCGCCGCCGCCGCCGGACCTCTCTTGGTCTCTGACTTCCGGGTTGCGCCCGGGCAGTCCAGAGCAGCAACCCGTCTCCGCCTCTCTCCCGACTCTTTGCGGCTCGCCCGACTCCAAGCCGCCGCCAGACTCTGCCCGTCGCCGCGCGTAGCTCGCCGATTCGCCCTCGAGACCCGGGTAATGTGTTAGGCATGGGTTCAACTTCACTCGGGGCTCGAATCACGAGCGCGATGGCGGGGGTTGCTTCGGCCCCCGGTTGGATACCTGAGGACGATCTGTTGTTGAAGAACGCTGTCGAGGTAAATCGTCGCGGTCTCCGCTCGAAGGTTCATTCTTTTCTTCGTCTTTTCGAGTCTCGACATGTGGTAGCAAACGGTGTCTCGTCATTCAATTTAGCAGTGAATTATATTGGATGAAACCGAGGTTTGATTGTTACATCAGTTAGGCAGTATGGGCAAGTGTCGGGTTGAGCTTATTTGCGATTCAAACGAGTTAATCGTAAGTTTTGGGGGATGGCAAGGCTCGGAGACTGCATCGGAGTTTTGCTATCAGTTTTCTCTTTTCCTGTGAAATGCCGTGTGCTGAGGATTAGTGAAGAATGGAGCTGTTTTCGGATTTGTAGTTGCGTTAGTTGTTGCCTTGTGAGAAAATTTCCGTTAGATGGTATCGGGTTGGGAAATTGTTAGCTATGATCGCGCTTTAATTCGTCGAGCGAGTGAGTTCACGCGTGCTTTCTTTAAAATGGATATGCTTGTGCGTGGCCTTTTAACTGTTTCCATGTATGCGCAGTCGGGTGCTTCTCTGGAAGCGCTAGCTAAAGGAGCTGTCCGGTTTTCTCGAAAGTTTACTGTCGGAGAAATCAGAGAGCGGTGGCATTCGCTTCTTTATGATCCTTCCATTTCTGCGGAAGCTTCTGCTCGTATGATTGAGTGCGAAACTTCAGCTAAAAAATCCGGGAGTTGTAAAGAAAATTCAGAAACTTTAGGGAAAAGAAAAGCCGAGAGCATTCGTAAAACATATTATGCTATGCAGAAGAGGATTTGCCAGTCTGCCAATTCTATTTTCTCTGACGAACCTGATGTGAATGGTTACATCCGTAACGAAAGTTTTGTGCATGAAAATCATACTCAAGGCCACTTTGGTGACCAGGATCCTAATGCAAATGTTTTGAATCCTGGATTGGTCATGGATCCTGTTGCAGCTAAAGAAAATCATGAAAAAGGAGGGTACTTGGGAAATGATTACAGTAACAAGTCCGAAGAAAAGGTCCCGGTATTCCCAGTCAAGCAACTGGTGAGAAAGGACATTGAAAGATCTGATGTTCATCATGAAGATACCCTAAGTATGCATGTGGATAATACTCATCCAGAGGATCGTGCTGTTCTCGAGGACTTGGATCCAGGTCACACGCTTCCAGATGCTGGTGCGTCCAATCACTCGATAGAACTCTCATCTCCTCATTCTAGGTTGCCTATATGGAAGACGTTCGAAGATGTAATGGAACTCTGCGAGGATCTCGATGGGGAGAAAATGTGTTTGCCAGATCACGACAACAGCTCTGAGAAAATTTTGTCGGATGAAAATGTGCTCAAGCAAATTGGGAGTTCTGCTGCGCTCTCTGAATATGACTTTGGATATCTTTCCCCTGAATGTTTATGGAATTATGATGATGTCCTGTTAATAGACGATGATGACAAAGCTCCGACAAATAAGGTATGTAACGAGAGTGCTAATGCACAAGTGTTGGATTATGTAAACAGCAGTGTTAAGGATGATACATCTGTTCCTTGTCAAACTCAAACACTGAATTCAAACCTGGCTAGTAGTCAAGATGCAAATTTCCTAACAGCATCAGATGTCCGAGTTGATAAGTTAGACGTTGATCATGGATACAAGGAAAGTAGTGCAGACATTGATAAGCTGTCATCAACAGCGGCACCAGATCCTCATCTTCATGGAGACATCAGTGAGGAATTTATGGCATGCACGTTGAATAGTGAAGACCCAGAGATTCCATGCAACGATGATTTTTTCCCGTCTACATCGTATCATAGCCATAAAGCACGCAGTGGCCTCTCTTTATCATCTGCTAACCGAGGAAACAGAGAACAAGGACGAAGCTTCTTAAAGAAAGAAAAGAATCACACACAATCTTCCGATCCCTGTCAGATAATGGGGCTGCAGGCATCATCAAATTTTGGTCCAAAATTTCCCCTTGCTAGTTCTGGGGTAAAATGTGAAATTGCGGGTAGTAACTATCTTAATTCTGTCTCCAGGCAGGCCTTCAGTGCCCATTTAGACCAGAGTACATGCATAACAGCATCTGGACCCTTGCATATAAATGGAGAAGCAACGACCAAGCTAGAGTCCTCTGATATATGCAATGCTATGACTTTTCCTTTAGATGCCGAAGCAGGACCTACAAGAGATGCTTTTCAGGAACCACAAGGAAGTCCCTCTGTCTTGGATCCGGAAGAGTCTGAAAGCGGAGACGAAGTTCCTTGTTTTTCTGATATTGAAGCCATGGTATATTTCTATGATTGTTTTTTTTTTGTTGGAAAAACGAAGAAACTTCAATAGCAGTGGCTTGTATCTCTTCTGAACTTACCCTGATTCTTCCAGATACTCGACATGGATTTATGTCCTGACGATTGGGATACCTATGTCAGTAGAGAAGGTACTTCTTCATCAGAGTTTACTGCCCGCTGTTCAAATTCCTCTTCATTTGATGACCTGTTCCATCTCGACTAATGCACCTAGAATTAGCAAGTACAATAATTCCTTCAGTTTCCAAAATTACGACATTCAACTGTTGTCATTGGAGTTGACAGTAGTAAGGCTGAGGGTCAAATGTCCAGTATAATGATGATAATCTATATTGGATATAAATTAATTGTGTTTTCTTTTCTCTCTAGTTTCTAGATACTCACATGAGGACGCTAAGAGGGCAATTGTTAGATTGGAGCAATGTGTTCAATCTTCTATACGGAGAGCCATTGCTTCTCGAGGTGGCCTTGCAGTATTATGTGGTCGCTACTTGAAGCAT